GTCCTTTTGCCTCTTTAGAGATTAAATCCCATCTTCTCTCGGGCGAGCTGATACGACGTTTCTAGTGATCGCCTTAGATGTTTCGCATAATCTGTGTCAATGTAGGTGTTGGTACAGGTGTGCCGTACATAATATCTATGGGGAGTCTGGCTTGCCGACCGAACATCAGAAAAAATGGGGTATAGCCTGTAGTGGATTGCACGCTGGTGTTGTAGGCCATACATATGCTTCGAAGTTTGCTTTCCCATGTAGTTGGCTGATCTTCCACTGCGAGGGATATCATGCCGAGTATTGTTCTGTTTAGTCTTTCCACCAGCCCATCAGACTGAGGGTGGTATGGAGTTGTCCTGGTTTTCACAACAGGAACGACACCAGTCGGTGACATCAGTGTGATGTCCAGGCCAGTAGAACCGCTCCTTCAGGCGGCACAACGTCTTGTCGATACCAAGGTGCCCACCCCCTATCCCTTCATGGAGTTGCTTCAAGACTTCCTCTTGAAGTGACTTTGGGATTAGCTGTTGTATTAGAGGTGCTCCAGACCCTGGGTCAACTGGATGGAATAACCGACACAGCACTCCATCTTTGATCATTAGTTGGTCCCAGATTTGCAGAAGGCGCCTTGTTCCACGGCTTGTTGGCCCCAAGTCTTCGACACATGGCTTGAGGTCATCTTGTTTACCGAGGAGCAGAGGGGCAAGCATCGCGTCCTTTAGTTGAGCCTCTCGGAGAAGTTCAGCTTGGAACAGGGGACCTTGCAAAGAGGTAGCACCAATGACCAGTTCATCTACTTCGAGGTGGCTGTTTCGACCACACTGGCGACACGGGAGACGGGACAGGGCATCAGCATTAGTGTGTTTCCGTCCCCGTCGATGTACGACTGTAAAATTGAATTCCTGCAACTGCTCTAGCCAACGGGCTAGTTGCCCCTGAGGGTCGCGGAAGTTGTGCAGCCAGGAGAGGGAGCTGTGGTCGGTTCGCAGAATGAATTGTTGTCCAGCGAGGTATGGGCGGTACTGTTTGGTGAACGTGACAACTGCCAGGAGCTCCTTCCGTGTGGTACAATACTGACGTTCAGCTTTGGTTAGCAAACGACTTCCATACGCAATAACCCTTTCTTTACCATCTGCACCAACTTGAGACAGTACACCACCAATGCCAATGTCGCTTGCATCAGTATCGAGTGTGAAGGGGAGGCTGAAGTCTGGGTGCGCTAGAATAGGTGGAGAGACAAGCCTACAGCGGAGCTCATCGAAGGACCTTTGGCATTCTGGGGTCCACAAGAACTTGCTTGGACGTTCTGTGAGACGGTGCAGTGGTTTTGCTAGGGTGGCGTAGTTTTCCACAAACCGACGGTAATAGCTCGAGAAGCCCAGGAACTGCTGGACCTCTTTGACGGATCGTGGAGTTGGCCATGATGCAACTTTCTCTGTCTTTGAGGGGTCTGGGGAAACGCCTTCCCTTGAGACAATGTGTCCTAGGTAGCGGACCTCACGTCGGAAGAACACGCACTTGGATGGTTTGACTTTCAGGCCCGCTTCTCTCAGCCGTTGAAGTACGAGTTGGATATTTTGTATATGCTCCTTAAAGGTCCGTCCAAGGATGATCACATCATCCAGGTAGACGAGGCAATGTTCCCACTGGAGGCCTGACAGCACGAGGTCCATGAGGCGCTGGAAGGTGGCAGGAGCATTGCAAAGCCCGAAGGGCATTACTCGGAACTGAAATAACCCCTCGGTGGTGCAGAAAGCGGTCTTTGGGCGATCGGACTCTTCAATATGCACCTGCCAGTACCCACTTATCAGGTCCAATGTGCTGAACCATTGAGAGCCGGAGAGTGTATCCAGCGTGGTATCGATTCGGGGTAGGGGGTAAGCATCTTTGCGTGTGATCCCATTTACTTTGCGATAATCCACGCAGAATCGAGTTGACCCATCTTTCTTTTTCACAAGAACAATGGGTGATGCCCAAGGGCTTCGTGACGGTTCCACCACTCCATTCTGCAACATGCTTTGCAACAGTTGTTGTACTTCACTTCGCCGCTGTGGCGGGAGGCGGCGGACGGACTGCCGGATGGGAGGTGCGTCACCGGTGTCAATGGTGTGCTGTAACCAATCAGTCTGACCCAGATCTGTTGAAGACTCGGCGACAACATCCGCATATGAGACCAGGAGCTGGTAGAATATATCTTTTTGGTCAGGGTCCAATTCGGCATCCGTGCCCTCCACCAGTTCCCATAGTATTTGTTGCTTCTGTTCACTTATTGTGCTCGCTGTTGTCTGTTTCGGTTGTGATGCTCCAACTGAACAAATAACATCGCCGACCTCTTCTGCATAGGCAATTCTCTTTTGGGCATAAATGGTTATGGGTTCTGACGAGACATTCACGAGTCGAACTGGGATTGTAGGTGACCGTGGTTGGATGATAGCACAAGCTACCATCATCCCTTTTTGGGCAGGGTTTGCGCGGGAGTCTTCCAGGAGCCACGTACCACTTTCGACAGCGGCATCCAGACGCATCGTTACTTCCACTTCTGTACGAGCTGGCACTTCTAAGTTGCTGATAGCTCTGACTCCAATGCGCCGGCTCCGGGTTGCCGCTGTTGGCGTGCACAGGGGAATTGAGAGATCCTGCTCGCGTAAGAAGATTCGTTCCGAATCCAGGTCAATTGAAACTTTCTGTTTCTTCAGAAAATCCAGGCCGAGTATCCCCTCTGAAGTTAGGGGGCTGGCGACAACCACGTCTACCGACATTGTCGCACCATTCAGCGCCAGAGTGACGGAGGTGGTGCCAAACGTTTGGAGAGGAGACCCGTCTGCTCCGACAAGTCCCAGTGCCGAGCAGGGTGTCAGAGGTCCCGCCGAGACGCTAACCCGATCCCATACGTCCTTGCGGAGGAGTGTCACTGCTGCGCCAGTATCCACGAGTAGCGATACTGCGAGTCCATTGACAGATCCTTCTAGGCGGTAGCCACCCACAGGGGAGACGGGGGAAACGGCCAGTTCAAGAGCCTTGTTGCGTATTACACCCTCCGGTAGGCGGCTCTCTCCACCGGAGGCGATTCGTTTCCCTGGTACTGCTGGGGCTGGGGAGGTTGACGGCAATTACGCGCGATATGCCCTGGTCGTCGGCAGTTCCAGCAAATGATAGCTGCGTTCCGGCGTTGACGTCGGTTCGTCGGCGAAGCCTCATCCTGGGAACGCATAGACTGCGGTGGCCGTCGTCTCTCCAAGGTCTCCACGCGGTTCATCAACTTCTCCATCATGGCCGAGAGTTCCGCTGTTGAACCGGAGTTGACTGCGGCGACGGGGGTCGCGCCTGTTGCATCGCGATCTTCAGGATCCGCGCTGCTAGTGACTGACTGTACACAGGATCGTGGGGGAGCGATGTACGACTCCATCTCCAAGGTGGCGGTGACGGCATCGTCGAGGGTAGCGGGACGGCGCTGCCGGACGCTGAAAGCGACTTGAGGTTGCTCGAGTTGTTTGAGATAAGTTTGCAGAGCGAGACGCTCTCTTGCCTCGGGTTGTAAATCAGGGAACGCCTTGTCGGCTAGGGAGCGGAGGTCCTCTGCGAAATCAGCCCAGCCTTCGGAGCGTTTCTTGCTGCGGGTCTCGAATTCCGCCTGATATCGGGTCATCCGGCTCTTGGGCTCGAACCTCTCCTGCAGGGCTCTTGTAGCGGCATCATAAGAGGCCTGACTTTCTCCTAGTAGGCGGTGGAACGCCTTCTGCACTCGACCAGTTAGGCGGACACGTAGCCACTTGAGTTTCTGTCCAGCATTCCATTCGTTGACTGCGGCTACGTCCTCGAAATGGAGCTTCCAATCACCCCAAGACGATTGCCCATCGTAGGGCTCGGGCAACACAACCGGTTTCGTTGCCATCCAGGTAATCCTGCCGACTACGCCAATTGTAGCGTGGTGTTCTCTCGCAGTTCAAACTGACAGGGGTTCTGCTCAAAATATTATGGAAGCTGCTCAATGATAATGCATGGTGCTTTTATAAGATAGAGCTAGGTGAGGATCAGGGCTGTGGTGTAGTGGTTACAAGACAACGAGTGTGTTTGTGACAGTTAAACATGACAGTGGTTGCAAAGATGTGGACAACCTGTGCCAGAGTTCTTACAGTAGCTATGCATGTGCACCATGTGCAGGATAATTGTGCATGGGCAATTGTGTTGTAGGGCACAAGATTATCACAGATTTACAGAGTTCCTGGTAGATAGTGAGATAATTATTGTAATGAAAAGCACTGAAGTGCAAACCCCCGGCGCATTGTGACGCGCACGCGTACGCGCCGTACCACTAATTGATTGACTAGGTTTAGTTTTAGCTGTTACTCGTGGTCTCTTCCCAGCTCGCGCAGAGTCTGACGCGGGCTAACTACACTACTAGATAGCATACGAGAGGCGATACACGCCCTTCGTTGCGTCTTCTGGTGCCTCCGAGGTATATACGCAGAGCACGCGGATCGATCATACCGCGGTAAGCCATCCCGTCCGTTGCGTATTTGCATATTGGCTTTTTCGCGCTCTAGCTTTGCAACGGAGCATTTTCTGAGAAAACCGCCTTTATTTTCTGACTTTCGTCGCCCGTTGGGTAGATGGTATCGTTTCTGGGATGAACAGACGTTCGAGAAGTGAGATGTAGAGTAACAGACAGACACACACACACACACACACAGACAGACCCAACTACTGTAACCCTCGCTGCGCATGCGCGCCGAGGGTTAATTATAGGCTTGTCAGACCTTTTGCAAATGGCAGAGGAAATCTGTTTTGGTCGGCAACTTTGACTGACCAACATGAAATCCTTATTTCACTCCCTGAATCAATGTATGACCACATCTCCTGTAATGCTGGAGTCACTATTAGCAGTTCAACAAACTCTAGTTGGATTTGATTTGTGGACATTTTTCTCCATCTAACAACCTAACACTATCTTTGGTGAATGCAAGCTAAATATTGTGTGGAATAGCAGAACACATGTTATTGTGCTTACGGTCATCATCCTCAATGGTTACAGCTCCGTTATTAGCAACAAATTGCACAGGACCATTGGAAGTCAGTGAAAATGTGAATCGTTCATCGTCCTCCAGCTTGGTGTCTTGATTGATGACAATGTCGTTACAAACTTGGGCTCCAAAAGTATGTCCAGATGGGAACACCAATGGTGTATTCATATGGGCCACAAAGTCCTCTCCAGCTGTTGAAACAGTAGGTATAAATAGGTAATAGTGATTTAATAGTGTAAACGAGGATGGCTCGTGCATTAAACCACCTCAAGCAGAATTTAACCATCCGAGTGCACCCAATTAAAGCGAGCTAAGTTTTTCATAAATGTTTTTTCTGGTCACATTACTATGACCAATTTCGGACTCTAACTTCACATTTTTCGGTTTCAAGTAATTGAAAGCGGTACAGTTTTGTTGTGTAGAACATGGGCATTGTCCTGGGCGTAGTTGATTTGTTTGTTGTGCCTTTGCTTTCTACCTCGTAGTTTTCACATGCATATTATATTGGTTTGGAGTTGGGCGTCATTGGTGGTTTAATTACCCCGGTCTGCTCTTGCATCCTAAGTGAGAGTATACTGTGCCATAGCACAGTGGTTTGAGGTTGTGTTCAAACCCCTACCAGCTGAGCTGCCCTGGTAGCTCAGTTGGTATAGCGCTTGCCTAGACTACAGAGTGTTGTGGGTTCGAATCCCACTTAGGGCGGCTGAGCTGTCCTGGGTGCAGTTGATTTGTTTGTTGTGCCTTTGCTTTTACCTCATAGTTTTCACATGCATATATTGGTTTGGAGTTTGGCATCATTGGTGGTTTAATTACCCCGGTCTGCTCTTGCATGCTAAGCGAGAGTATACTGTGCCATAGCACAGTGGTTTGAGGTTGTGTTCAAACCCCTACCAGCTGAGCTGCCCTGGTAGCTCAGTTGGTAGAGTCAGGTGTAGTTGATTTGTTTGTTGTGCCTTTGCTTTTTACCTCGTAGTTTTCACATGCATGTTCATTTCCAAAAGTTTCTGTGCAATATACGTTCTTTGGTGACGTAAGTGTCAAATAAGTGATTTAATGCATATTTTCGGCCAATCTTAATGGTCAGAAGTCATGTGACCAGACATAAAGATTGGTAAAGTGTCGGGTGTATAGTTACTGAGCAAAACTCCCCATGTTCTCACCATGTATATACATTGTCCTTTTCGGTATATTAGGTGCAACTGTCAGCATTTGTCTACGACAAGCTTGGACGCTAGCTTTTCGCTGCTCCCAGGCCTCCACGATTTCAGAAGCACAACGATTTCTATATTTCTCACGGTGTCTACCCAATGCTCTATTCATCTGCCCTGCGGTCTGAAGTGAAGGTTGAGTCGGTTACGTTTTCAAATTAGTTTTGTAATCACAAATCACAATGTACAATGTGACAGAGCTATAGCTACATAGCTATATATGTGTGGGTCTGGGTTTACTACATGACTACTACGAGACTGTGTAAAGCACGTGGGTAATATTGCACCTGTTGTGCATAATTTGAATTCACATAGAGCATTATGGTAGGTGTGGCAATGTTAGATAAAATTTGCCAGTTAGTCACAAGGGTTGGCTCGCTACCACTCGTCAATTACTTTGTGTCACTTGGCTCACACAGTTTAAACATACAAGTGTATGACCACTTAATAACAAGAGTATATACCAATTGCAGAATCATCATCAGTCTTTAGAAGAACTTCAACATCAATGGCTAAAATTCCATTTGTTAGAATGACACAGACTTGTGCCACTCCATCACTCTCCAGTACGGTGATATCAGCTGACACCAAGTTTACATCAATATCTGAAAAGAATAAAACTAGATCGAATGCCACGCATTTTTGGCGAGCAAGTGGGAGCAGTTCAATAATCCTGTGGTGCGTAGTTATAACTACGCAAAGCATTACGGTAGAGCGCCCGACTGACTGATGCATATTATATATAATAAATGTAGAAGATTTCCCACGTTGAAACAACGTGCTTCGCTCGCCAATCAAGGCAACCCAGTTAACCCAACATGCTTCATGCATGGTCCACTGCAATGGAGAGAAGGTCGGGAATTAGGAAAGACAGTGATATAAACTGAATGCAAACGTTTAGAGCATCTCGTTCACAGTAATATTAGATGCTATTGAAGTTTGCATAATTACCTATTAATGCAGAAAATAGTAGAAACTACTTACGGTCATTGTTGATGATGGCAACTTCCGCCTCTTCTGGACTAAGTACAACTTGAGGTTCATCAGTGGAGAGTTTAACCAAAAACACTTCGTCGCTCTCCACGAGAAGATCACTAAGAATTGTAACATTGAAACAGTGCTCCTCAGCGATGCTACCAACGTTCTGAAACTTAAACCTCAGCACCCTTAGTTCAGCAAGGATATCAGAATAGTCCTCGCCGGCTGCAAAAGGTATGAGATGTTCACCGAGGAAGAAAGAGATATAAAATAGAACAAGGGTAAAATGATTTCTCTGAAGTGAAGGAAATATTATATGGATATCATTATCATGAAAAATAAGAAGACAGCCTAAACTGAGACAGAGAGTCATTCTTAATCACATCACTACATCTTTGTTATAATTCACTTGTTGGTGAATGCAATGGTAAATGCTCTGAAAAGCTTAGGGTTGCCTAGGAGCTAATTAGGTTTTGTACACAGTGATGGTTACATGGGCAGGCTTTAGCAATCAGACTACAGTGATGGTTGGATGGGCAGGCTTTAGCAATCAGACTATATAGTGATGGTCGCATGGGCAGGCTTTAGCAATCAGGGTTGGTCCCCCAAAATCAGTTGCCACAGAACCTCCACCATAGAAAATTGTTCCCCCAGAGCATCATTGTGGAAAAATATGTCCCACTAGCACCATCCTCAACCCCACCCTCTCCCTTACTGAGGCACAAGTGTTAGGTGTCTGTCAAGATGCTAGGTCTACCTTACATGCATTACGTGGTTGCTGCACCTAGCTTAAGCTGCTTGCAGCCTGGATGGACCAGATTAGAGCCAGACATCGTCTATAGGGCACCCACCACCCGGAAGGATCATGATCCAATGCGGAACTCGTCGTATGTTAGGGCAGACTAAACCACAGGACCCCGCACGAGTGCTAGCCCGCGTGTGTGGGGGGACTGTGTGCAGCAAAAGGGACTAATTACGGCTGCCACAGATGGCATGGGAGAACTGATTTCAGTGGGGGGCCATCCACAGCATGACAGGTTAAGGTGGGGCATATATCAGGACCCCTACGTAGAGCGTCAACCAACACTCTGATATTCAACCCCATGTATCACCTATGGCAGTCTGGGTTCTGGTGGTCACATAAACATCAACATTTCGGTCAAGTTCTCCAGCCTGCACACAGATTTCGAGAATGTTTCCATCACCATTTTCATCCTCTTCCTCCACGGAATAGACACTCTGACTGAAGCCAATTGTGACAGCTGTAAGGAAAGTTGTACTGTGTTCCATTTTCTACTTAGAAGCATGCATTTTAGACCACCTAAATTGGAATATGAACTAGCAAAGGTGTTGCAGTAGAGTCAATGGTGCATTGTTGGAGAGTAGGGGTAAACTAACCGTCATCTTCAATGATATAAACTGTTGCATAGTAGTGCTTTATTTCAATGCGCTCATCCTGAGTAGACAAAACCAACGAGAATTTCTCGACGTCCTCAAGGGCATCTCCAGTCACAATGCCCACGTTTACACACTCTCTTCGACTCTGGTGAAATGTGAGGCTCTCACTCAGTGGATCAAAGTCAGCAGCTATAGCAGAGTAATAAAAAGAGTTCCTCATGGAAAGAGGACAGGATTTGTACAGGCTTACCAGTGGCAGTACCCGGAATAGAATAGAGACTGACTGTCAGGTAGTTTTCTGGAGTACCATTGAGCTCCACACAAATTTCTACAGACCCATTGCTCTCCTTTACTTCATACACTGACTGTGAGAAGTCGACACAATCAGCTGGATCAAAGTAAAGGTCAACAGTTAAGAGGATGGTGACAAGGTTTTTCCTGCTTACTGTCATTGTCTGTGATTTGCACATATGCAGTTTTTATGTGTGCTGTCGCGTCCGCTTCAAGCACAACATAAAATGACTCATCCTCTTCCACAATATCATCATCAAAGATCTTAATGTCAAAGTAGACTCTATCTCCAACACTTGATCCACTGACAAATGTTTGCTTCAGTGGAGATGTTCCATTATAGTCTTCATCAGCTGCTCAGCAGGAAACACTCACATACTCAAGGCAATATTACACCCTCACCAGTTGCAGTGTCTCCTAACACATGGAGATGGAGCTCAAGATCATGTTTTAAGTAAGATTTGAGCTCAACACACAAAGACACAACTGTGTCCCTCTCATTGACTTCATGGATCATGTTTTCGAGTGTTACTACCGGAACTGGAGGGAGATTGACATGTATAGTAAACATCTTATGTATTCTAGCGATTACAATGTTTAATGTTTTCACATTACAAAGCCCAAGATGAATCCTACACACAAACTGTTTCATCCATCTTATATGTAATGCAATGTTGCAAAAACTCACTGTCATCATCTACGATTGTGATGTTGACATGGTCCACTGGTAAATGGACACAATCCATATCAGTGGTGATGTTCACTGAGAAGTACTCATACTCCTCAACACAGTCGCAGTCATTGATAATGGGGATATAGAGATGGTATGGGTTCTCTGAGTACTTGGTAAACACAATTTCTTCTGTTAATGACACATAGTCGATGCCTTCAAAAGCTGCAGGCATTAAACATGCAAATATAATATTGGTAACACTCTGGAGGGAGAAATTAAAACTCACCAGATCCGCTGGAAGTCTGGACTATCACTGTAACATCAGTATAAACCTCCCCCTCCAATTCCACCAGAACAAGCATAGCTCCATTTCCTTCCAAAACAGTTCCAGCTTGGTTCTCCAGTGAAAGAATCACATTCACCCCTGCAGGATTTTCAGGATCACTTATCGTTGGGCAGGTTAAACCACCAGAGAGTAACATACAGTCATCGTCAATGATGTGTACTTCCACATGGCTATTTACTAGGTGAACAGCCTTATCGCGTCCAGGAGAGAGAAAAATCAGAAAAGACTCATTGTCCTCCTTGAGGTCGTCGTCTATGATCACAATCTCGATACACTCCACCACCCCAGACACTGAATCACTCTCAAAGTGTAATTGGTATTTGCTGCCCAACAAATCTAGAGAAAAGACAGTTCTTACGTACATAAAAGCGTAACATCTATGTGCAATACTCACCCATTGCTGTGGCACCAAACTTCTTGCACTCAATATACACTTCTCTCTGAAGACAACCTTCAACTAGTTCAATACATATTCTGACATATCCAGCATTCTCCTCCACATAATACACCTGTTCTTGTACGCCAAATGTCGCATCTGAAAGCATGAAATATAGAAATTGCCACTATCACCCAACACCGGCACTTACAGTCACTATCCAAGATGTTTATCGTAGCTGTAGAGATGTGGATATCAACATCATGATCAGAAGATGAAAGTTCAACTAAGAAATATTCCGTATCTTCCAAACAGTTATCAGAACTTATAGTGAACAAGAAGCAAATTTCATCATCTCCACCAACACTGAATATTCCAGTGAGTACGGTTGGTGAGTCAAAGTCGCTTCCATCTAGCAGAGTGAAAACATTATCAATAAATAATGTCCCACAAATATTTTGAACCTTGTGCTGTTGCATCATTTACACGTAGTTGAAATTGCACATCTCGTTTTATATCAGTCTTTAGCTGAACACAGATGTCCACAAATCCTTCACTTTCATTTCCCGTGTAGTAGGAATCACCCACAGTTATTTTGGCCACTGGGTAAAAGGATTTTAACTATAACTTCTTGAAAAATCCTGAAATCCTCACCGTCATCATCATCAATCATTATGGTGACTTCACCATTATCGATATCAACGCAGTCCATGTCACTGGTGACCACTATGAAAAAGTGTTCACCGTCTTCCTCAAGACAAATGTCGTTCAGAATTGGAACAGACACAGTCTGTTTATTGGGAGTTTCCTCATTGAACATCAGGTTCAAATCCACTGGTATAAAGTCCTCATAGGCTACAGCTGAAGATGACAGCACGTGATTACGTGTACATTCAATGAAATACACACAAAGCACACCTGTCCCAGCAACAGTGGCAATGTTGAGAGTGACATCTGTCTTTAGGTCTCCTGTGAGTGTCACAGTTACTACAACAACCCCATTATCCTCACCAACTAAACCACCATTTTCAACCGACAGAGAGACCTGTACAACTGCATTTGAAATGAAAAGTTGAAATGTTGCATGTGTCATAGCACGAAATGCGCAGAGTGGACAGACAGACTTACTAACACCAGACCCTCTCCTGTTTTAGAGAGCGTATGGCTATGCCAGACTAGTACTGACTGACTAGTACTATGCGCTCTGAGGGTTAAAAATACAATCCCTTGTGTTTACTCCCTTTGACATGATATACATACTCGAGCCATATAGGGTGCATTTGGATAGCTTACCATCCTCATCGATGATATATACATCAGCATAACGTTTATCAATGTGTACAGATGGATCTCCTCCAGCACACAGTCCAAATACAAAAGATTCATTCGCCTCTTTGGAATCATCCGAAATGATTCCAATATTAACACAGTCAACTGTCCCAGCTGCTGAGCCACTCTCAAATGTCAAATGCCACGTACGACCTTCATAGTCAGTGTAATCTAAGAGGAGAGAGATTTCATATTCAACAAACAGTGTTAATAACTATGGAACCTACTCTTAGCAGTTCCATCAAATGTTTCATATTTGACTGTGACTTTTCGCTCTAGACAATCCTCCAGCAGTTCAGCACAGAGTGTGACTGACCCGTCATTCTCAGCAACAAAGTACGAGTCATACTGAACACCAAACAGTGCATCTAAAAGGAAAAATACAAATAAAATAGGCAAACATGCAGAGAGTATGAACTAACAGTCATTCTCCAAGATTTCAACGCTGGCCAAATTGATATGGATATCAATGTAAGGATCATAGGATGAAAGAAAAACTTCAAATGATTGTTTGTCCTCCACGCAATTATCATCTTTCATATAAAATGTGAAGCAAATCTCAGCATCACCTCCCACAATGAATGTCCCATTGAGTTCAGCTGGTGAGTTGAAGTCACTGCCATCTGAGTGGTAAGCAAGTAGTACAATGCAGTTTATCATACTTTCCTCTCACCCTCTGCCGTAATATTATAGGTAGTGAGTTCAAAGTCGACATCCCGCTTAATTTCAGTTTTCAACAGTACACAAATACCAAGAGAAACTTCTTCTTCGCTAATTTTGTAGTAAGATTCGTCAAGTGTGATCTTGGCCCCTGAGGACAAGGAAATATAGATATAGATGTCAAAGGAAAAATGGCGATTAACAACTCACTATCATTGTCCTCAATGGTGATATTGACATAGCCACCAATTATCTCAACACAGTCCATATCACTAGTGGCCACTACAGAGAAGTCTTCGCCACCTTCTTCAAGACAAATGTCGTTCAGAATTGGAACAGACACACTCAGTGTATTAGAAGATTCCTCATTGAAGATAAGGTCCAGATCCACTGGTCTAAAGTCCTCGTTAGCTATAGCTGTTTTAAGATCAAATACAACAGAGCATTGGTAGTATTGGTAGATGTTGTATGTAGGGATGGCACTGGTAAAATTTTGCATGATCGTATACAAAATTCCATCAGGGAATGCCATGTTAAACCTTCAAAGTACACTAGCAATAACTCCTGGGCCAATCTCTAGCTACATATATGCACCCGTGTTTCGTTAGAATCTGCAGTTCAGCCCACTGTATCACTTGCAGAGCACTTTTAACCTTCGGTGCGCATGCGCAGCAAGGGTTACAGTACTTGGTATGTGTGTCTGTCTGTTTGTCTGCAGCTATTCTGGTACTACAGGCTACGAGGTGACCTATGAGCGATACCAATGGCTTCAGAACTATGAGAGCGTGAAAAGTAAAACGGTGATTTTCCTAAAAATGACTTTGTTCAAGAGATATGCTGTGAAAACAGCGAAAAAGGCAATATGGATAATCAGTATAATGGGGCATATGTATTTTGCTACTAGAGACTAGAGCCTGCCACCTCAACTCTCTCACACCACTGAGCATGCACATGCTCTCAGCAGTATCTGCATCACATTTCGTTTTTGTTGGGGCTCTGCCCCAAATCGAAAAATTAGTGAAAAATGAGAGGATGAAAGAGGAATGTAGGAACGTCACACCATGAAGAAGAAGGGAATGAGATGATGCTTACACCGAGACAGAAAGTCATTCACAACCCCACCCCCACGTACATCTTTGTTTTAACATCCAAAACATGTTCATTAGCAAGTTTATGCTTTGCCACTTCTAAAATTTGCATCTGTAAATTAATTAATAAGACACAACAAGGATGTCTTAGTGTTTGTCTTCCGATATCCCTATATCCTCACAACTAACAGAATACACATAACACACACACCTGTCCCAGCAACAGTGGCAATGTTGAGTGTGACATCTGTCTTTAGGTCTCCAGTGAGTGTCACAGTTACTACAACAACTCCATTATCCTCACCAACTAAACCACCATTTTCAACCGACAGAGAGACCTGTACAACTATTACATATATAGCAACACATATGTAAAAACACCAACCAGTACAATTGCACAAAGGTCTTACCCTCTTCATCTATGATATAAACAATGGCATAGAAATCATGAATGTGTACAGATGCATCTCCTCCAGCGTAGATTGCAAACGTAAATGTCTCACTCTCCTCCTTATAATCATCATTGATTATCACAACCTCAACACACTGCTCATCCCCAGCAACTGAACCACTGAAGAACTTTACATAGGAAGTACTGCCTTCATAGTCCTCAGCACCTAGGGTTAGTACAGTAGACCCCTTGTGAGTGAGTCTCTTACACGAAAAAGCCTGCAAAATATCCCTTATTTGGAATACAGATAAAACTCTTACATTGCTATATAGCTGCACTTAACAATGTGCACAGCAATGGTTAACTGATGGCTGCATATTGCTACCACACAATCACATTACCAGTTTGAAAAACGACATACATCACAGAGGCAAATTTTGTAACGTACTCAGTGCTTTAGCATCAAATGTGGCATAGTCAACCACCACATCTCGCTCCAGACAACCATCAGCTATCACAACACATGGGTATACTGGTCCATCATTCTCTTCAACATAGTAGGTGGCATTCTCAACATTGAATAGTGCATCTGAAACAACAAAAAGTCAGACAAATGTGAAGATGAAGGCAAAAACAACACTAACAGTCATTGTCCCAGATGGTGATAATGCCCAAATGGACTTGGACGTCAACATAAGGATCAGAAGATGAAAGAACAACTTCAAATGATTCTTTGTCTTCCACGCAGTTATCATCACTGATATTAAATCCGAAGCAAATCTCAGCATCACCTCCCACAATGAATGCCCCATTGAGTACTGCTGGTGAGTTGAAGTCACTGCCATCTAAGGGGTTGAAAATATAATCTCTCTCTACTGCAAATATTGCTCGATTCCATTTGACCTTGTGCTGTTAGGTTATTAACCGCAAGTTCAAATTCAATACTGCGCTTAATGTCAGTCTTCAGTAGTACACAGACCTCCACAGATCCATCACCTTCGCTTTTCTTGTAGAATGAATCATCCAGTGCGATCTTGGCCGCTGGAGGTTGAACCAAAACCAAGTCACAGTTGCTCTTTGCACTGCTTATAAAATCTACATCCATGCACAGTTATTAAACCTTGGCACGCATGCGCTACGCGGGTTACAGTACTTGGGTTTGTCTGACTATCTGTCTGTTACATCAGATTCTGGTACAGCCCACAAAAAAGCAGCCAAAAAGCAATACCAACAGATTCATGGATACACTGGCTTGATTTTGATTTTTGTAAAAATACTGCAATTGGCAAGAAACCCAAGCGAACAAGCCATAATGCAAATATGCTCCTGCTTACCCCGACCACATTCTGGTTGTTTTGCATACCATGCATCCGAAGTTACAACGGAAGGTGAGCATCAAGTCTCGCTATGCTACCTACTGGTGTAGCTAACCTGCGTGTGGCTGACTCTCAGTGAGAAGCCATGGCCAGCTTGTCAATTAGCGTCTTTCGCCGAGGATTTTCAATTTAGTGCAAATGTGAATCACTACTGTGTGTTCTTGCAACCATCACAACTTACTGTCATCATCGTCAATAGTGATAGTAACATTTTCATCCACTATACTGACACAGGTCATGTTAGAAGACAGTGTCACACTGAAGGTCTCATTGTACTCCAGACACTCATCATTTATAATGGGAATGTATACTATCTGTGTGAGGCCTGTATCTTCATTGAAAATGATATCATGTGCTATCGCAATATAGTCACTGCCCATTTCAGCTGCAACAAAAAGAGATGGTACACACATCAACTGCTAAAATGAGATTCTTGTTAAAATAATACCTGTCCCTTCCTCGGTGTGTACAGTGACTACGATGTCGGTTTGCAGATCTGTTCCCATGTACCGACTAACTGCCACTAGCACTGCCCCATCCGCCTCACTCACAATGCCATTGTTCATCACAGACAGAGCCATCACCACAACTGCAGCAAAGAAAAAAACTGACAAATGCAACTTCAAAACTTTCATGCCACTGATTTTTTAACCACTTTTTCAGAGTCTGCAGAGGTTTGCATTGTCAGGCAATTATTTTTCTTGCAATGACAGTTCATGAATGGACAAAATGGCTCCATTATTACAGCTAGCATATGATCCCCTCATTCATTTATATGCAGGGCTGTGAGTCTACCAGTCCTATACTATGGCATAAAATGTTGGCATGGTAGATATGTAAAAAGGACACCTGGTTCTGTTTCCTATCCCCCTTGGTTCCTGCCTTAGTACATGGACAACACCGGTTCTTTTCAAGGAAAAAAGAGATGCCATGGGTGGGACTAAACCCACGCCACTCTGCAGTCTCGGCAGAGTGCTCCACCACTTGAGCTACCACGGCAGCTCAGACGGCAGGGCTCAAAGTGTACCATGCAACACTATACAAAGCAAAGGCAAACCCCAAATTAATAACTTAACATATAGGAGCCGGCTGGGGTAATTAACAAAACCAGAGATCACTCATACCATCAGCAGGATCCTCTCGGATAGAGATGTGACCTTGGTCTCTGCAAAGTTTAATCCCAGGGTCAATGGTTGAGAGATAGATCTTGAACTTCTCTTCCTCTTCCTTGGTGGAGTCCTGAACGGCTGTGAAATCGAAACACAGCTTTTGGTCTTGAATAGTGTTTACTGAACTAGCTTCAGCTCCGAACATCAGGGGACATCCAGTAATATTGTAGTCAGAATCATCACCAATAATCACTTTTACTGCACAGTGAAAAAAGGCCGTTAACTTAAGATGTATTCTGCGGAAACACACACAACATACCATTAACAACAATATCATCTATAGGTCTTTCAGTTGACCCTTCTACTGTCACACAAACACTCTCAACATTGCCTTCATCCAGCATGACATGTACGTCGTTTGAGAACCCAGCCTTTAGTTCTGTTGGACAACACATGTGTACATAATCTGGCACATGATCAAAGAAATGCATGGCCACTCACCGTCATTGTCAGTGATATGTACAACTGTAGTATTGACAGTGCCAACATCCCCACATGGACTAACTCCTTCAATTGTAATAATGAAAGTCTCTGTTGACTCAAGAATGGCATCATCCACTATAATACTCTTTAAATCAGTGCAGACATCGCCTGAAACAGTTCCTGGTGGGATGGTGATGATATGCGGTCCCTCTACAAAGTCCCCTCTTTCAGCTAACAAATCTGTATGATGCACAGAAAACAGACATTAATATGAAGGAGGAGACTGGGAGAGATAGGCATACTTGCAGTGCCTGTAGCTGTGCCAAGTAAAACTGTCAGGTTACACTGGACAATGCCTTTTCCAGTTATATTCAACGTCAGACAGATCTGTGTGTTGTCTTCAACCCCTTCGTCAACTGTCACTGTTTCCTCTCTCATTTCCAGAATAAATTCTTCACACATGACATAGGATACAATCTTATAAAAGTTTCACAGAGTTGGCAACTAAAGCTAGGGCACACTTGTATAGCATAGCTACATATAAGGTATTGACTGAGTGATCCAGCCAGCTCGCTAACTCTATGCAGCATTCATTTGTGCGTTATGTTGCAAGAGGTAAAATCTCCATGCATCTTATAAAACATTCAAATCCACACAGATAATATTAGCTTGGTAACTCTGAGCAAAACTTTTATTTCCCAAGCCTTGTGCTATTTTCATAAACGTGAAAAAGCAGTAGTAGTACATATAAGTACATATAAACTAGGTACTACTGAGGTATAGCTAGATCCAAGATATTAGATGTTAGTAAGTATGAGTTGGCACTACACTGACATTCCCTGCAGTGAGGCGCATTCTTTCAGCTCTTCTCCCCAGAAAGAAAAGATCTGAAACACCTTTTCATGCCTGCTGTTGCACAGACACATGCAAACTGAGCTTGCAAGCTGCCTGTATATTTCAGTCTTGCGCATAGCTACCGAATGTACACACAAGCACCAGTCACAAACTTAAGCACAAAACCCTTTCATTCGTGAATAGCCCAATTGCACGTAAGCGTTGGAATGTAGATTAATGTTTTAATTGCCCGTGACGTCACGGCTGGGGTCCAGTTTCTCTGCGTTTTTGTATGGGCAAGTATAGGACTTGCGTTTTAAAGCGCAAGTCCTATACTTGCCCATACAAAAATGGGACCCCAGCCGTGACGTCACGGGCAATTAAAACGTTAATGAATTCCGATCGCCTTACGTGCAACTGGGGTATTCCCTAGCCCTAGCCCTATAGGAAATCACGAAGGTATTTTAGAGGAATCTAACACATTGTTTTGGCGAGCAAGCGGGAGCAGTTCTATATGTCACACGTGTTTTGCATGTATTTAGAATCATTACGGTATCTACAGCGCCCGGCCGATAGTTATAAACACAATATACAAATAATTTAATAAAATTCCAGCATTGAAAAGACTAGGTAGCCTTGCTTTGCTCGCCAATTATCCAGCTGACTGCATGCACCAAACCTTTTCTTCGTGAAATGTTGTTTTGGACTGATTCGCAAAAGTTTTTGGTTGCGAAGTAGTAATGCAAGCACCACATGCAAACACATTGCCTATAAAAACATGCATTCCAAAGGTTGTGGCTTCAACATAAAACCTCCCTACAGGAAGTGGACTTACCATCATTATCGATAATAACCACAGAGGTTGATGATGTATCGGACATAATTGGAGGGTCCACCTCACAGTCGACCACAGAATCAAACCATACCGTGAAACTGTGGTCACACTCAACCATGGCATCATCGACGATATTGATTGTTTCACACGATGTGACAGGTAACGTACTAGCGTTAAATACTATGGTCTGTGTAGGATCAGGAAATGAGAAGTCCTCCTCATAAACTGAATAGAGATTTTTTTATCGCGTCAATTTCATAGGTTTCATAAGTGTTGCGTATGTCAACCTACCAGCTTTTCCATTCTCAACAGCCAGTGCTAGAGTCAAGTCACACTCCATTCCACCAGAAGGTGGAACAAGCACCATACAGATATCTATTACACCATCTCCCTCATTAGCCACAAAGACAGTCTGAGTGAAATCTACCATAGCATCTGGAGAAGACACATTATTAATTTGACATGTAACAGCCACATACCAATCACGACCGCTACACTATGCATAAACTTGCCTGTACATACTGGTTAACATTCTTTGTGTGAGTGGAGCGAGCGTTTGGCGCCATTTACATATATATATATGCACAGAGCCTCCATAAGTGCATAAGAATTTATATATGGCTATAATACTAGGCACTAACATCAATTTCTGCTTATTTAAGGAGACACCTATGGCACCCAAAGGGTTAACAGTATCGTAGTGTGCAGTCTGTCAGCAGCTCCTAGCTAGATAGCTTCACGGGCATGCCCGTATATATTTCTGTCAAAGTGGTGGTTGCATTAATAATCAGCTAGAATGGATGGGTGCAACATACAATCACTCACAGGCTTAACCTACATACACAGTATTCTCAGTTGCATATCTCCAAAGAATCCAAAGACGTTCTCCAAAAGCAACCAAGTTACACAGTGGGCTTGAACTTCGACCAACATAGTAAATATGCCCTGCATGATGCCTCTGACCATTTTACTTATAGCAAAGGAGCAGCAAGGAACTGGAAAGGAAAACCTTCCGCAACTGCTGATTCTGCCGGCAACAGCCACGAACACCAGACGACAAATCAGCCCACCATAGAGGCAGTTCGTGCACATGGATAACGCCCCTAGTCAACATGCTGAGTTGGCAGCAAATGGCATTACGTTTGCCGTTTTACAACTCACTCAATCCCCAGGTCTGGCGGTTTTCATACTAACCATGACGACAATGACATGCTGACAGACATGCAAACGCATCACATAACCCCTTGCACCATGTGCACGGGGTAACTTACACATGCACACCTAAGTTTAGTGGACAAAAGCAGTCGTTTTGATCTCATAAACCAAAGTTAAAAAACAATGCTTCCAATAATGCATCAAGCCCATGTATACACTTTGCAATTCTCCTGCTGAGGGTTTGAACACTGTGTGTTCTCTCTATTTATTCACAGTGTGCATGAATGTAAGCAGCATGACAATGCATGGCACTGAGGGTTTAGCACTTTTTGATCTCAGTTTGGTGAGTGTTCCACAACTTACTGTCGTTATCCAGTATAGTAATCGTTGCGTCTGATAGTGGACTGGAAAACATAGTTCCTAGTGTGGCAGAGGTAATGGCTACAGTGAAGTTATGACTGCACTCCAGTATATCATCATCAGTAGCAGTTATTTCTCCACAAACAGTGTTGCCCTCCATTGACAATATTGGGAATGTCACATGAAGCATCGTTGGATTAAAGTCATCACCACCAACTGCAGTTTAACAGAAAACAAGGTATTTCGAAAGGTATGCCATGGCATGTTTAAACTATAGCGTCAGTACATTTCAACAAGTGTAAAATTGTCTGAAAATGTAGCTAGCGATGGTTACGTAACGAAAAAAGCCTATACCAAGATGAAATACCCATCCCCACATCATAGTGACTCTCCATAAATTTCCTTTTGATGATGACAAGAAACAAAGATGCAAGGATGGGGTTGTGAATAGGTCTCATCTAGGTCTATAGGTATCCCCCTTATTTTTCATGATGGAGATCTTTCCTCCTCCTTTATTTCAGTTTTTCCACTTGTGTGTCACTAATTGATGCACCTGGCATGTTAGTAAAGGTTTTTCCTTAAAATAAGGTTGTGTACAAGCTCCACTGCACACACAATCACATTTACAGACAAATACACTGGCTCAGAATACCTATAACATGGCCATATTAAACCAAGTGTTCTGGTTGTGTGTAGCAATAAACAATGCACAAATGAGCTGCACTGTTGTGTTGCACAGTGGGGGGAAAATCCATATTATATGGCTTAAAAACACAAGCAGTTGCATAGCCAGGTAGGTAGGTATTAAGCAAAGATTGCCGTAAATGGCATCACCAAGTGTGCTTACCATGAAGAGCTATGTGATGTATGTATCACGATGAAATATGTTACGTCACAACTGTGCCAACAAATCCCATGTGGCACTAGAGACCAGACAACACCAAGGCACTAGATTTCTTGCAAGTATGTTTCACTTCACTTGTGTATGTTCTGTATGTAACTTACATGCTTTATCTCCATCAGTGGTGCTCAGAGTTACAACAATTTCCCACTGGAGTCCATCGGGAGGAAGATGACTGAGTTCTACACACACCTCCACTGAGCCACCCTCAGTGATGGTATACTCCATTTCTGCCATCTGAACTGTTGCAACTGAGGTACAAGAGCAGAGCAGAAATATAAAAGCACTAAAGTGCACTGCGCATGTGCGGTACCGCCAATTGATGGTCTGGGCTATGAGTATGCATTTACGTGCATCTCGGCTAGTACCTCGCAGAGAGTCTGACACGGGCTAGCTACGTACTAACCCCATTTCACACCTCGATTTTCATTTCCCTATTTTTCAGGTTAGCCCATATATGTATTTGTCACCCCTTTTGGCCCCACCTATTTTTACATCCCCTTATCCTTAAACTTGTGGGAGTGAAGGGTTTAAACCCCTTTGGTGTAGCCTACGTAAGATCTTTGCCTCGTGCCTTTGATCCACTTTCAACCGTTTCTGTTTGCATAAAAGGAGCCCGCTACTCAGATGTAACTCAGAATTGTTATTCGCTACCTACGTACCATCTCCGAGAACTCTTTTCGATTCAATGCCGCACTTGAGTAATTTATTGCCGTGAAGACCTTGAAGAACATGGCAGAAAAATGTACTCACAGTCATTGTCAATGATTTCAATGTTGGCAGCCTGTCCTGGTATCACCAGATCACTATCCACCACCTCCACAAAGAAAGTATGATTTCCTTCCACAGCAGTATCATTTAGAATGTCCAGTGGCACAAGAATTGTGTCTCCATTGGCAGTTGTGGTAAAGAGAGTGAAGGTTGTTGGTCCTGGTTGGTAGTCCATTCCCACAACTGTAATTCATTGTCATATTATTATATAAGCCTCCCCAACACAATGTTACATACTAGCTTTTGGACCATCCATATACTCTATCATCACTTCAACGGGACACTCCAGTATACCAGTGTCTACCAGAGACACTACTAGTACAAGGTTTACTGATCCAGCTCCTCCAACAAACACGTACGTGCTTTGAGAAAATCCAACATTAGCCTCTGCAATTTTGGGAGACGGAGACAGAAATTATAATGTACAGCAATCATTACTGGGACTACACTGAACATACCATCGTTGTCACTTATAGTAGCACTCTGTTGTGAGGGAGACTGAATTGACACACTGGTTGGGAGACTAACTGACATAATGTCAATAGTGAATGTGTGGGGACCTTCCACATTATTATCGTCAATAGTGCTGATACTAGTGCATAGCATTGTAGGGAGGGCAATCCCTAAGTTATCAAACAGGACTGTGTGTGGTCCAAGGGAGTAGTCATCACCTTCAACTGAAAAATAAAAGTATATTCCTATAGTATCACAAACAAGCACTAGAGCAAAAATAATCACAATACTTGAATAAAAAACAGCTAGAAGAGAGTTTCAACAATACGGAAGCCCATAGGGATCCATTGCAATTTCTGATTTTCCTCCTAGAACTTCACACACACTCGTGGTGCATGACCTACATGGGAAGATGTAATAGGCTATCCCTTTGCTTTTTATGGAGTTCAAAGTCATACCTTGAAATTGTGTGCGGAGGGAGGGCCTGGGGACAGGGCTAGAATGGACCTACATACCTATCCCAGAATTTTGTAGAGTTCAAATCAATGGCTGGCCCCTATAGGCTTCCGTACAACAAGCAATATAGAGATCATGGATTTGTCGCTCACTTTTAGAAAGTGCTTGAGCACTAACCTGTCTTTTCATTATCAATGACATCCAAACTGACATTGAGTGGGTTACCAAGAGTGATTCCAGAGCATATGAGATTGACACATATACTGAGAGTTCCACCTTCAACAACAGTAGCAATTGGTTCTAGATTCACAACTCCCTCTGCACATTATTAACAGAAAAGAGAGAGAGTGGAAAAAAATTAACAGAAAGGAAAATCAAAATAATGTTATTAACAGTGGATGATTGTAAAGCATTGATATTTATCACCACTGAAACAAGTACATACCATCCTCAATTATTCTCTGCAGGGTTGATGACAATCTGAACGTGTCACCTCCTAGCTAAGCCTGCACGTTCTAGAATACTTACGAGCAACAGACCCTTTAATCTATTCTAAAATGTGACAATGCCGTCGTTTGATATATATAACGGCTAAGTAGTCTAGCTCCCTTAGAACATAAAACGTAAGACAATCCCTGTCGTACGCACCATCATTATCAGTGATTGTAACGGTGGCAGAGTCTGATGCTCCAACAGAAACGACGGCACTTTGGTCTGTCCCACTGATTCTAGCGCCAAATGCTTCATCTCCCTCCAACAAGGTATCTTCCGTTCCGCTCACTGCCACACAATGAGAGCCATCAGTCGGAAGAGTTGTTCTGGCAGGAATGGTGACAGATGCACCCAGCGAAAAGTCAACAGCTCCTGAGTGCACACAATTCCAGGTTTATATATATAGATGCATATAATTATGATAAATGTTCATAAAAAGAGAGAACAAAACAATACACGAATGGTTACGTTGTACGTACCCATGTAACAATAGACCATGTGATGCCAAGAGAAAAAAGATGGGAGCTCTGGACAGCTGTTTCGGGCTTGTTGGCCCTCATCAGCAAACCATACCGCAACCTCTCTCTCTGGCATCATGAGTTTATAAAGGCAAGTTGAGCGCAGCACTTGTGGTTTTGAACTAATGAGTTCATCCCCACAAGCTTTTGCTCAGCGCAGCGCTGTGGTCGACTAATGAATCTCTCCACTAGGCGTTCCAGTACCGAGTCAAAACCCAATCGAATGCTGACATAGTGTTGGGCCACGGCAATGAAGCCAGCAAGCACCCATGTCCTGCCAGCGCATACGTATGTAACAATAGACCATGTGACGCCAAGAGAAAAAAGATGCGGAGCTCTGGACAGCTGTTTCGGGCTTGTTGGGCCCTCATCAGCAAGCATACGCAACCATACTCTCTCTGGCATCACGAGTTATAAAGGCAAGTTGAGTGCAGCACTTGTGGTTATGAACTAATGAGATTCATCCCCACAAGGCTTTGCTCAGGCGCAGCGCTTGTGGTTCTGAACTATGTATGTACAGTACGTCAAGTCGGCACAAATGGTGCAGAATCGACTAATAACTTAGATTAGGAGCCTACCTGCATCGGCATTCAGCACAGATGTCACAGTGACTGCAAGAGGATGACCAAGTTCAGTAGGAGTTCCCGTCAATACCACACACACTGAGCCGGCTGCTCCACCTTCAGTGATACCCACAGAATCTGCAGCGACCTCAACCTCCCCAGCTGAAAGAAAGATTTATGCACAATCATAACATCTAACACAAGGTACGTACTGATTATTATACGTACATATATATATGCGTCTCGCTTATCACACATACGTAACTACAGATCCCTGTCGTACGCACCATCGTTATCAGTGATTGTAACGGTGGCAGTGTCTGATGCTCCAACAGAACGACGGCACTTTGGTCTGTCCCAGTGATCATAGCGTCAAATGCTTCATCTCCCTCCAAAAAGGTATCTTCCGTTCCGCTCACTGCCACACAATGAGAGCCATCAGTCGGAAGTCGTTTTCCGGCAGGAATGGTGACAGACGCACCCAGAAAAGTCACCAGCTCCTGAGTGCACCAATTCCAGTTTAATGAAAAGCACTAAGTAGCAAACCCTCGGCGCAATTGTGACATGTACGCTGAGCACACGACCGTAGCAATGCATGCGCGTACCACTATTGATGGCTGGGTTAGGTTTTACGCTGTTACTACACTAAACCACGTGGTCTCCTTGCCAGCTCGCGCAGAGTCTGACTGGACGAACTCCACTGTAGATAGCATGACGAGAGGCGATGACCCAACCCTCGCGTTACACTCTTCTGGGTGGTGCACGTGATATCGATCAACTGTGGTAGCCGTCCTGTCCGTTTGTTTTGAATATCGGCTTTATGAATTGCGCTCTATAGCTTGTCAACGGAGCATTTTCAGCAGATACACACCACACATTTGTCTTACCGTCGTGCTCCCGTTGAGTAGGTAGTAGTCGTTAGTGAGAGGAAAAAACATTGGGGAGTGGAGATGTCGAGTACATACAGCACACAGAAGACACACAGACAGATCACCACTACGTACCCTCGGGGCACCAATGCGCATGTCACGCTCGCGTCCGAGGTTAAATATATATATATGCATAATATATTAAGTCAGAAGATAGAGCAGAGAAGGGAGGCTTACAAGAAAATATCTTGAGGGTCAGGATATTCTAGGGCAGGAATAGGAATATAGTAACTGCATAGGGAGGTGCAGAATTGAGTGTTCAGAGAAGCGTGAGGTTTGGAACGACGGGTCTAGTGGAAAGAGGCAAATTCAGATTTTGAGGAGGAAAGCATTTGGGCATTTGTTGGTAGAGGGACAAAGTGTAAGAGGAGATTACAGCTTCTGAGGAATAGTGCTGGGGTGTCAATGCAGTGCTAGTACAAGGCAAGCTGGAGGTGATCAGAGGCATTATCAGCCGTTGGGCACTTGTAGTGTTGATACAGCCTTTGATGATAGTTGGAAAGAGGAATGGGGAAGTGGATACGAAAGTGTGTGAGTCTCCAAAGATCTGTGTGGACAGTGTATGGATAGGGAATAGATTTGAGGAGATTGCAGTGTGTGTGTTAGAGCAAGTTGAAGAATAATCAGACGTGGTAGTTGGTGGGCTTGTGACAGAGCTTATGTGGGGAGCTTCTAAAGCATGGTGGTCAGGGATGGTTAGAGTTAATTAACAGTTGTTTACAGTATTTGGCGTGAGGAGTTTGTTCCACACGCACAGTGGATGGGAGGGCCTCAGTAGTCAACCGGTTAAGAAGAGATAAGGAGGATCCTGGGATTATAGGGGCATCACTGCGCGACTGTTGTTGGGAAGAGTCTTTTGATAGGTATGAACAATAGGCTGGTGAAGCATCTGACGAGGAGCAAGGCATTGCATTTGAGGGCCAGGCGGGTGTGTTAGGGTTGGAAGGGGTTGGGGTTGATAATATTTATACTGCTGAAATGAGCTCGTCTGCAGGGTAGACTAAAGGAGGGGAAGGAGACATATGCATCTTTCTAGATGTGCAGAAGGCATACGATAGTGGTGTGGCGTAGACGCCTGTGGTTACAGTTGCTGGGATTTGGGGTAAGAGGGAAGAGTGGAGGTCATAAAGTAGTGATGTACGAGTATCAAAGAGTGCTGTATGGTTGGAGATGGGAACGGTCAGCAGGCATTTGATGTGTCTGTGGGAGTCAGGGGAGTCGTCAGGACGTTGTAGCTTATCTCCATTTTGTTATCGCTCATTTACTATGTGGTTGCGTTGAGGGAAGGAGGAAGCTGATGAGATCGGATCGATTTAGAGTAGTGGCTGGGGACTTGAGGACTTTGTTTGGCAGATGAGTCGTTGTTGGTGTTAGTGAGAGTCTAAGGATCAGTTACACATGTGCTGCATGCCTGCCTACGTCGAAAAGTGGCGGCTACAGGCTAAGGTGTGTGTAGTAAGAGTGCAGATGATGGTGTTCGCTAGGGAGTCAGTGGATGGTTGCGTGGAATGGGGTGGTGCATATGTTTGCCTAGAGAGTACCACTACATCCACATACTTGGGTTGTTGATGTTATACTACTACGTGCATGGGATGTGCATATCAGAATGTGTTGAGACACGGTAAATTTGAAGGAGGGTTCATCAGTTCATAGTGATTAGTAATTAGTAATAGGCATATTATTTGAGGTGCTCTGCAGCGCAGGTGGTTGTTTGTGCGGGCGGGGTGGTCGCACAACTAGAGTCATGTGTGAGGTGTGGCAAGCCATAAGACTCAGGGCACTGCGTTGGAGTGTCCGTGATGCTGGGAGAGCTAGCGCATCTTGGGTGTTCGTCAAGACATGTAATGAAGCCCGTAGGGGGATATGGGGCACTTACAAGGGGCGTAGGGATAAGAATAAGTTGAGTGGTGGTTATAAGTTAGCGTGCATTGCCAGGCAATAGGTATCGAAGAAGCTTACTCAAGGATGGAATTTAAGCAACGGAGAGGCAGTGCAGAGTAAGTTTTGGAGTAAGGTCATTGATGATTCTTTTCGTCATTCATGTCAAAGGCAGAGTGTTGCATATTCAAAATGTGGATTGCTCCTTGAAGGCTTTCTGTCTATAATAGGGGACAGTATCAATGAGAGGGAGATTGGAAGAGGGGCTAAATAGCAAGTAAAGCTATTACTTGTATAAGACATTAACAAGGTGGTAATTCAAAAACTACTTGCATGGGAAAAGTGATGCTGGGTCTAGATTAATGTTTAAGTTCAGGTCAGGCACGATGTAGCTAAATGAGGAACTGGGTAGGCATAGGGGAGGGAGGGCGTGAGGATGCCTGTTGTGTGATGGATGATGGGTGTGCAAGTGTGAGTCATGTGTTGTGGGAGTGTCCAGCATATATTAGTCTTAGGAGCAATTTTAGTTGCCCTGCAGGGGAAGCTTGGGGATGATGGGTTTGAGCATTTCCAGTCAGCTGATAGTTTCAGGAAAGCATCCTTTATATTGGGGTAGTGAACTGTGGGAGGATAAATTTGGTTCTTTGCTGGGCCTTGTTAAAGGTTTTATTTTGGATGTTTGGGAGCTAAGAAAGGTTAGGTTATACGGCGATAGTCCCCGCGTACAACAACCCAGTCTCAGATTGCGTCTGGGAGCTGCAGGGGTGTCGCTGGTGGAAGGGGTGAGTTGAGGGTCTGGGAGGTGAGACAGACACTCATGTTCATAGGTGTTTGTTCGTGTGTTAACGGTTCCGCCCATTGCTCTGGGTGCGTGGTCTATGGCCCTAGTGCTATGGCAGCCACCTGAGTATATTATATTATTATTATTATGATCTAAGCCTATATAAAAACAAAAACACAAAAACTAGGAACGTGTGTACGAAGGGCCTTCTCATGCTCTCGTGCAGTATCTGCCAGCGTTCCCTCTATTAGCCTCTTGTACGTTCACAACTTTTCATACTGTTCTCACTCTGCATCTCACCTGTGGCGACATCATCGTCTGAGTCTGTTCAGAGAAGCGCCACCAAGTTAGTGTCAATGACTCATCCATGAGACTATAAAGCTCTGACTGATTCATTACTTCTCCTACCGTTGATGATGGAGTGGAAATCTCCGATATCCTCTTCTTGGTCAAATATAATGAAATGTCCGTCTAACCATCCATATCTATTCTTTTATGAAGTCTTGCAAGTCATTCTACTTACTCATCATCATATTATCAACTCAGACATTCGCTCTCAAAAACACAATCACTGTAGCAATTTTTATTTCATTCAACCACAGCCCTAGACTGTGGAACTCTATTCCTCTGTCGATATCAATCTCCTCTCCTGCCTTCTTACGTGATGACATCTCTGGAATCGTTTTATTACTAACTTCACACGAGATAACATAGGTACTTCTATCATTATGACTCTACGCCCAGGTCGCAATGACTTCAAATTACACTGTCCATGTGCATGTTTCGTATATAACTCATTATCATTACTTTGTTTATGTGTGTGTGTGGGATTGTCTTTTTGGATTGCTGCTGCTTCTAGGGCCTTCAGTCCATCACGCAGACTCTCATATCTCTCTCCGTCATCATCCTTTCCTCACTGTCTGCTTCTTTGTTGTAACAGTTGAATAATAATACTGATAAATAACCATGAGCGAAGATCGTCGGAAATAGAAAAAAGGACGAGTCAAAAGATATGGTGCTGCTCAGTTGGAGGGACACCTAGAGGTTAGT